GACTATATTTTTAAAGCCACCTTCAATGTAGGTTAATGGCATGAGGCCTAAGCACAATTCAGTTCAAAAGTAATTTCACAAAGAACTAAACTTATTTAATAGTGTTCGTCTCCACTGAAAATAGAGCACCACCCCTATATATACATATTATGTACACATACACACATATACATATATATACACACACTGTACTTTAAGGTATTAGATTAAGTACTTCTGGTTTCTGAAAATACAGTCAGAAACCAGAAGTATAGCAGAATGGCGGAATGAACTTTTTGAAAGTTCTATCTATTAACAGAAGGTTTAAGGTAAATATCACCTAGCAGAACCATTATGACAGACCTCTGGATCCTATTCTCTCATTTTAAACTATTGTTCTCTGAAGCCCACTGTATTTTCATTGCCATCTTACTTATGGAAGAAAGTCATAAATAGAGCAAGAAGTATGAAAGTCTCCCAAGGTGACAGTCTAGTCAACAGTCCAGCTTGCACTGTAATCCCAGTCGGTTCAGTCAGTGCGACAACTATTTATTGCATGCCTGTGTGGTAGATGCCACAGGGGATTCACAAGTGAATGACAGCAGAGCCTGATACGGTCTAAAAGAATATATGAAAAAGAGATGCCGAAATGAGAAGGAAACAAACAAACTCCTACGATACCAAGCAGAGTTAAACCAGTGCCTTAAAAAAGGCCTAGAGTTCTCGGAGGGTTCTGAGAGACACCGCATCCTTTTGTGAACGGTGTCACTGGAGATAAGTCTGTAAGAAAAAGTAGAAGGTGGATGGGTGGAGATGGGTTAGGGAAGGAAGGGCAGGAGGCACGGCATGGAGCTGGTAGCGCCTGGTACACACTCTGGGTACATCAAGAAGCCTCATTTGGCTAGACTGTTAAAAACACGCAGGGGAGGGTGAGATGGGAAAGCAGTCTGAGGCCTCACGGTAATGGCCATGGTGAAGAGACTGTACTGAATGTAGTGGGGAACCAACTCAAGACATTAGATCTAATGGTCACAGTTGACCAATTCATTCATCTTCATAAATATACTGTTTCTACAATAGGAGATACCTTTTAGGAAGCAAAAAACTGAAACCAAAACTATTGAAAAGAATCCATAGTATCTACATCTCTGCATGAAAGTATGTGATTCTTGCAGAGATGAAATCTGTGGGGAAGAAATTAGTATTTTCCATTCCTAAGTTTTACTCAGGCACATTCTCCTTGATAAGAACCTGTTTCCAAAGATCAAACTTAAGAAATACACAAATTGTCCTAATTGTAATAATCCCAAATCTCTCTGCAAACATCCATGAATTTCAAACCTTATTTCTGAATTAAGTGTTCTAGATCACAGTTATGTCTCATTCCAAACTTACCCAACCTCAGGCTTCAACTTCTATCTATCCTCTAAAGGAAAGAGACTCTCACATTTTATATTTCAAAAATTTCTGTATGCAGTTAAGAGTCACTGATTTTAAAAAAACCTGTGATTTTCTAATAATCTGACGCATGTCCATTTTATAGAGATATTTGCTTGAATTAACCCTCTGTCTTAATCGTTTGCTCCAGGTATGTCTGCATATAGTTAGAAATTTTATACTAGTGACAGTATGTCTCAACAGAGATACTCTTATAGCAAACTCCACAAATTAGTAATATTTCAAACTAAGTTTTTTAACTCTAATGAAAGCAGAAAATAATAGGAAAATATCCAACTAGAAAAACAACTAAATGTAAACGATCTGCTAAAAATAAACTACTTGTTTCTAGAACACGCCAATATTGGAAAGTTTAAACACTGAAAAGTCCTTGGGGTCCTAAACTATTATTGTTCTCTCTATAGTGGTGAACTTCCTTGTTGCATTAAATCACATTTAAGAGCAATAATCAGGCCAAAATATAACTACATATTTTAGGCCTTTTTTCCTGATTTAAATTTTAGAATTCTACAAGATATGACTGCATCTTTCTCCTTTAACATTGTGACTAAACTATTTTTCAATCAGTTCAGGATATAAAGATGAATGTATAACAATATGGGAATGATTTGAGATTTATAAAAGTTAACATTATTCTAAGCTTATTTTTCTCTAAACATTGGTTGAGGTATACTATTTAGTGCGGGCAAATACTTTTCAGATATACATAGAATACATTCAATCCTAAAAGAAAATTCACTATATAATGAACGTTTAATCACAAGAGAGATAATTTTAAAGTATATTCTTGAAAATTCCACAACGTGTTAATAATTGCCAACAGTGATGCGAAAGAGAATACTTGGGGTTTTCCACTGTACTTATCACACCACACGAATGTATTCAAGGTGTAAGTCTACATGTAGGGAGTACTATATAAATATTAAATGAATAAATAGTTAATTTCAACGAAAATGGGAAATATAATAAACTCTCATTGTTTTAAATTGCCACTCATTTACGAATGTTAAGTTGAAATATCAAAAAATACTGCACATAGGAAAGAAAATATTGAGGATCACTCATCTCAGGTTTGGGAGAGAATGGGAAGGAAATTAGTGGTTTCTCTGCCCTCTGGTGGCAACAAAATCAACTGCAGCATTTCTAAAGGAATGCATAAAAAATGTCCTTTATGAAATCAGACTCCCCTGCCCCCAACCCCCGCCAAAATGTTTGTAAAAAAATCCTGATTGCTACACGCCGAATTCCAAGACTGTCGGACTTTTAAAAAATTTCCTGTATTGAACTTTTTAGCTAGACTATTTTACAAAGGAAACTATATTTTTTCTTCCATTTCATTGCTGTATTTTAGGTATTACAGTAGCCTAACCATTTAATTCCAAGATTATTTAATAAAATTAATGCAGACTGATAACCAGGAAAGAAGTTACTTCGTTTTGTAATAAATCTCAAAAAATTTGCTGAGAAATATAAAACTATTCCTTTTTTACTCAATCCTGTAAAGATGTGGGCTTCTAGAGTAGTTTTCCACCAGAAATACTGGTTTATAATACCTGCAGCTCTATGTTGAACAATTTACGTATTTCATATTCCCCAAATCAAAGGCTTTTAACTAACTGTTCAATTTTAGAGTGGAGTAAATTTTATCCTCAATTTGAGAACTCAGAATAGTAAACTTATTGTATGCATTGTTCTTTTCTCAGTAACATATTATTAATGAAAAAAAGTTCAGGAAAAAAATAAACATCTGCTGACCTTTTATTTTTTTTTACTGTAAATGCATTATTTACTCCCAGTGCCGAAGAGGTTTTCAAATAAACAACCTGGGATGCATTTTTGGCACACGCACCTCTCTAACCTCCTTTGGAAAGAAGTAAATTGCTTTCTTTAAGCATTTATTTATTTCATGAAGTTGCCCATGAAAACTACTGTGGCACTTTTTAAAATAAATGTGCAGCTTCCCAGACGAGTAAAAGCCTTTTTGTTTACCAATGAAATGTAGCAGAGAAATACACAGAAGGTACGATGTATTGATATAAATAATACCTAGTCAAGAACAACCTATGTCCATCTATGCAGAACCCATTATATGTGATAAAGACAAATCAACATCCAGGAAACTTGCGTTTTATTCACAGCTTTAAAAGTGTTGTCATCTTGTTGCCCTCCCCCCGTCCCCCAACACACACACACACACACACACACACACACACACACACACACACACACACACACCACACACACACACACACACACACACACACACACACACACACCCTCCAATCATAAATTGGAGCAGAGTCAGAATCTGTGCTTTCTCCATAAGAATTTACACCAGGGGCAGACACAGTGTTTCAGCTGTCTCAGCTCGGTAACATTTCATTCAAGGACTTCCCTTCAAGAGTCACCTCACCTGGGAATCCCCAGGTGCTCTCCCTAGCCTTCCATCTGCGACTGGCAGGTTTGACATTTGCGGACGCCAGTAGACTTCCTGAGGAGCCACTTACCGTTTCCCCTCCTCAGGATTAAAACAGAACAAAACAAAACCTTGATTAGCCTCATCAGCAAGGTTTTATTTCCTTTTTCTTTTCCCTGTAAGTGTTTTTGCTCATTCACCTCCTCTCGAAGTCCATCCATTTCTTCCCAGGGGGCAGAAATGGGGAGCAGGCACCCGGTTCACAGCGGGCAGGGTTCGGAAGGCAGCTGAACCTCCGGCTCAGCAGCGCCTCTCCAGGAGGAGCCGGCGCGCCCAGGGCGGCGTCGCCGGCTCCGCGCTCGCCCCGCGGGGCGCGGCTCCGGAGGGACGCGCACCTGGCTGGAGCAGCCAGCCCTGGGAACGTGCGGGGCCGGGGCTCCGCGTGGGGGCAATATCAGGCCACTCGGAGGAGGCCCTGCACGTTCAGGCCTGTCTGCGAAGCCGGCCGGCGGAGGACAATGGGGCCAGAGGTTGGTCTCCAGAGGGGCGCCCGCCCCACCTCTGCCACCTCCTTCCTTCCTCTGCGTCCCGCCGCACCCACCCCGCCCCACTTCCAGCGCCCGCTCAGCCCCAGACAGCACGAGGGAGCTGAGGTGGGGATCGCCTGGGGGGAGGAAGGTGCGGCCCCAGGGAATTTTCTCCAGCAGAGGGGAGCTCTGCAATCCCCCGCTGCCACCACGTCCACCCCCTACCGCCCCCTTCGCGCACTCCCTTAGTTTACCCCAGCAGCAGGGAAGGAGGAGGGGCCGGGGAGGACACAGCCCAGGCTGCCAGCTCCCGGGCGAGGTTATCAGCGTAAGGTTTGCTCTAACCCCAGAGCCCTCTCTGGGCGCGTCCGGGGAGTCAGTACCACTCCCTGCCAGCCGCTCAGGTGAAGCAAGCGGTAAATCCTTAAGATAACCCCCAGTCCCTACCACCCTACTCATCCAGCCAACATTCTTCTGCCCATTTGAGAAGCCCAAGTTTAGTCGAAATGCAATTGCAATAACTTTGCCAAGGGCATAGGTGGGGAGGGAGTGGGTTAACAACGGGGTGCCAGAGAGGTCTTCAGCTGGGCACAAAAGCAAGAAGCGAAAGTGGATCTTACCATTGACTTGGTTTCCAGGCTTCCCTTCAGTGAACTGAAACCGGTCCATTAAAAAGTGGCAAAGTAACACAACTCCTGCAGCAGCCAGGTCGGCCCTCGGGAACCTCGCCATGCCGCTGCCGCGACCTCCCTCCCCTTCCCCGCCAGTACTTCTCCGGCACCCTGTGCCCCGGGGCTCCCGCTGGGAACGGGGACAACGGGGCCGAACGCTGAGGACTGGTCTCGGCGGGATGCAGAGGCCTTTGTAAATTTCTCTGGGACTTCACACCCGGGAGCCGGGAAGAGGAAGAAGGGAGAGCGAGGGGAGCTCAGTCCTCTCCGGACCTCCAGGTCTCTCTTCACAACTTGCCACGACACTCGCAGCCCTCACCCCAGACACACAACAATTGCGGAGACGAAAGGCCACTTGAGCTGGGGCTGGCAAACTCTCCCTTCCGCACAAGCAGCGCCACCCCGGTGCCCGTAGACGGCGACTTCCGAGGCCCCGCGATGCGCTCCACTGGGTTCAAAACAGATCTAATTCCTCAGCCAGCGCGGGTGCCTGTCCAAATCCAAGAGGGCTGTCGGCTAGCAAGGAACTTTCCCCAGTCCTAGGGTGGCCCCCGCGGAAGGTTTGGGTTTGCGGGAAGGGGGTTACTGTGGGATGGCGAAACCCCTCCGACAAGTTTTTCTTCTTTTCTTCGCCCCGACGCTGGGCGCGCGTCCTTGCTCGCAGCCGGAGGGATGAGCAGCCCCAGAGCTGAGCCCCGGGAAGGCTCGGGCTGCAGCAGTCTGAGGTCCGAAGGCAGGAAAAATGTATTGGGGGAAAAAAGAGAGAGAGAGAGGAAGAAGAAAGAAATGGGGAGGGAAAAGTCAGGCTGAAACCTATCGGGAGAGGGTTCCTCCTGGCTAAGGAGGAGGTGGCCCCAAGCCCCGCCGAGCCCCGGAGTTTGGTGGCGGAGGAGGCGCCGCCGCCGCCGCGCTCCCCCGCACTCCAGCTCCACACTTTGGGGAGGGAAGGCAGCTCGCAATTTGCCAGATCTGCCGCTGCATCCTCCCCCCCCCCCCCCCCTCCCCCCCCCCTCCCCCCCCGCCAATCCTCCGCAGTGGCTGGAGTGATCTGATGAGAATGAATCAGAGCTCAAACTCACCAGGGGCTCCCCGCATACTTAGAATGAATGCACACACCTAGCCCTGCAAGGGCGGCCCTGG